GTCGTAATTCCTAAAGCAGTTCAGTTAGTGCTGCTCGGAGCTGGAGTGCTCTGGGTGTCCCTCGGGGAGATCATGAAATGAACACTGGCTTTGCTACTCCTATTGATTGTGGGGATGAGATTAAATTAAACTAAAGCAAGAAAACAGCTCTTGAGTTCTTCGGTGAGGAATCTAATGAATTTTATTCGATGTGGTTTCATCTCATTTGCTTTCCTTCTGCATCATTGCAGTAATCAGGCCCCAAGCCCCAACAGAGACATGGTCCCATCATGTGCAGATTCGTATAGGTAGAAAATAAAGGATATTTTCTTTCTGTCCCTGACCTTTCCATGTCTCCAGAAGGAAACCCATAAAGATTAGCAGCTCTCAACATAAAACAAGGGGGGGGTTGCCCACTTTATCTTTATCTTTTATTGTTATCTTTGAGTCAAGGTGGAGAGAATCATAGAATCAGCTAGGTTGGAAAACACCTTTAAGATCATCAAGCCCAACCAAGAGGCAACACAGACAAAGCAGGAGGGGAATGGGGTAAGCAACAGGGATTTGCAGGAGGTCTCTTAGGGTATCAAAGGGGAAAACCAGAGCAAGATGCCAGGCAGTTTGATGCTGCCACCTCTCCTGAGCTCCTCCCTGGCTGTTGATTCAGGCTTTGACTTATAACCCAGAGGATGTAAGACGTGGGAACTGTCATGGGGATTGCAGCTTGTTTGTGGTCATTTGGGGGATGAACAAGAGCCATCAAACCTAAATCCTAAGGGTTCAAAACCCAATAAGGTGTAGAAATGTCTCCTGTATTTCTAAACCCAGTGGGTTTGGAGTGCTGGGAATTCTCAAGCCTGTTTCCTCTGGCACAAATGGTCACAGATTCTGCTACTTTCTTATCTTTCACTATGTCCAAAAAGGAGCAACCCTCCATTAATTTCCCTGCACCTTTCCCATCTCCGTTTCCCCTTATAATAGAAAGGACAAGTTTTCTTGCTGGAGATCAGCACTTATCAAAGCTTATGAGATCAGAGTGGAAGATAGAGGCAGAGCAGGGCTTGCTGCATCTTTTCACATCTGAAGCTATTAAAGCTTCCTTGATAGAAACAGTATTTATCTGGAATGAAATTGTCCTGAAAAAGGCCATCACTTTCTTTCAGAACAACAAAAGACAGCAGCGTGAGCAAGACGCAGTCCTACCGAGCAGAAGTTAAACCCAAACAAAGAAAAAGAAGACCTAAATATGCAGTTGTCTCCCTCTGCCTGAAATCTTAGGATCATACAATAGTAGGGCTGGAAAGGACCTTAAGAACATCCAGCTCCAACCCCCTGCCACGGGCAGGGACACCTTCCACTAGAGCAGGTTGCTCCAAGCCCCTGTGTCCAACCTGGCCTTGAACACTGCCAGGGATGGGGCAGCCACAGCTTCTCTGGGCACCCTGTGCCAGCACCTCAGCACCCTCACAGGGAAGAGCTTCTGCCTTAGGTCCAACCTGAACTTCCCCTGTTCCAGTTTGAACCCATCACCCCTTGTCCTGTCACTCCAGTCCCTGATGAAGGTCCCTCCCCAGCATCCTTGTAGCCCCCTTCAGACACTGAAGCTGCTCTGAGGTCTCCAGCAGCTTCTCTTCTCCAGGACCAACAGCCCCAATGTCACCAGC